CCCCAGAACACAGACAAAACAAACGGCTCATGAAATTTTAACCTCCAGGACCACATGAAAACACACAAAAAAGGCATGTCTTGCTCAGTTATATTTATTTGGAGGATGTTCTGCTTTTTATCAACAGCTCAGATGAAAACCCATACGCTGAGATCTGACCCTGAACACACACAGACCAGAAAATCCAATTAAACAGAATTCTGAAAGCATCAGGTGTGTCAAACTGCCAATGTAAAAGCAGCTTACCTGGTCCATGTCCTCCTGTCCTTCCAAGGTGGGTTTTTGGGCCATCACATCATCTCTGGGAAGTTGCTGGTTCCTGCCAGTCACTCTTTGGGAAGAGGCAGCATCTCCCAGCGCTTCCAGTTTTCCAGGACACCATCAAGGCCTTGATGTGGCACTCAGTGCTCTGGGCTGGTGACAAGGTGGGCACCGGGCACGGGGGGGACTCAGAGGCCTTTTCCAACCTTAATCATTTTGTGATAAACTCAATTATCTTTTAATGGTCCAATCCTTGACACCTCCCATCGTTCTGTCACTTCTCTCTCGGAACCGACTCTACTGTGAGATGACACCGAGGCCCAGCTCCAAACCCAGAACATTCCCAAGGATCCTCCACCAGAGCAGTTGGCTGCAAGGATTCCACTCCCTGCTGGAGCAGCGAGGAATCATCTGGATTTCTGTGCTCCTGAGCAGCAGCTATTTAAGAGCAGTTATAAAAATAAACATCATTTATTTCTCGGAGCAGATGCGGCTCCTTCTTCGGGGTGTCGTGAAATCCCACTAGAAATGCAACCCTGCCAAAAGCTACTGGCAAACAGCAGAAATACCACAGGATTTCAGGCTCCTCGGGGCTCTTCCCAGCATTTTTCCCACCTCAGTGCAGGACACAAAGAGACTGGAGAGACTTTCCAACGGTTTGTACTTTTGGCTCATTTATTGTAGAAAAGTTAATCGTAATGCAGTTCATCTTTGTACATCTAAATTCCAGAAAACGAATCCATAGAAATGAGGATACTATGGGCATGCAAGTCTGCATGATCCTGGTCACAAAAATAACACCACTTTAGTTTTATTTTATTTATTTTTATATAATTTTTTTTTTTCGGAGTTTTTCTTTGAAAGCCACTAAAAGCAGAGGGAGAGCAGAGCATGCACCACTGTACACATTGCATAGTATATTGGACCCACATGCCTTGTCGGGTGCTACACACACAGGATCTATGGGGGAAACAAAGGGCAAACCAGCAGAAAACACCAACTTGGGGAAGTCTTTTCCCAGTAAAGGCAGTAGTGTCCTCACCAGACTCTGGACTGGCTCCCAGTGAGGCTGGAGGCAGCGCTGCCCAGCTCCCACTGGGACCCAGTTTGGCTGAGAAACGGAGATTTTCCGGGGTCTGAGAAGCCCAAGGTGCAGAGTTTGCAGTTGGAATGACTGTTCTCATCCTTCTCCCCTCCTCTGCTCACCCAAAATTTGCATTTGGTGTGATTTAGGGCCTGGCTGACTCTCCCTCTCTGCACGAGAAGAGACTCAGGTGTGTCCCAGCCCTTGGCCCAGCACCCCTCACTTCCCTTTAGCTTTGAAATTCTCAGGAATATCAGTGGAATTTTTGGGTGCTGGGACTCTCCTCTCCCCCACCTCAAAGCCCTGTAGCCCCAACAACACATTTACTGGGAGTCTCTCAGTCCTGACCACTGGTGCATCGTGGGATATTCCTCAGTCACACCCAAAATCTACACACTGGCCAAACCTGAAGGAATTAATGTGATTCCAGCAGAAATGGATGCACTGGGCTTTCGGATTTTGAAAGCTTCTGTCACTAATTCATTGACGTGGAAGGAATACAAGTTACTGAAAAATCAATCCCGTGTGCAAAATGCCAAAACCAACTGCTGAAGGATCAGGCAGCGAGGAAAGGGATCAAAAATGCCATAAACCCACTGCTGCTGGGTCAAAAAGTGTCCCCCTGGTTCCCAAAAAACACGATGCTGAAGGCAGGAGTGGGATTCTTGGAAATTTGTGCTATTACAAATGTGCTTCTTTGTCCTCGCTCTGGTTGTACACGGTTGGAAAAACAGATTATTTTGTCCTGTCCGTGAGATTTCCTCACGCCGGGAATTAACACCAGAGGGATAAGGGGGATAAATTTAAGTACATTCTGGTTTTCAGGGAATATTGGCAAGGCAGGTGATGGTCAGGAGGTGACATTTCTGGTCAGACCCTGCTCCTGGAGAAGACAGGAGTAGAATCTGCTCCAGGTGGGAATTTGGGGGGAAAAGGCAGGTCTATGAACCATCACTGACACCAAGCCAAGGCTACTCCCAGCTCCAAAGGAATACAGGAATGACACACTCAGTAACATTTTACAGAATTCCCACCTTCTCCCCAAATTCTCTGTATGGATTTAATGACAATACTCCAATTCTTGAGTGGATTCCACACATAATGAAAGAAATCTTAAATTTCAATCCTAACATTTCAATCCTCAGTAGCATTTTTTGCTCTTTCTCCGAGTTAATTCCTTACATATATTTCACAACATTATTAAAGTTTCCCTTTATTTTTAAAGACACACCTTTATTTTCCTATATAAAATAAACTGGGCTAATTATTTTGCCTTAAAAACCCATCAGGAATGTAGAATCAAGGACAAGCTTAAGAAGGACTGAGCTTGGGGAAGAAAATACAGCAGAGGACACATTTAATCCATTATTGAAGAAAAAATGAGTATCAGAAGCCCTGATTTACCCAAATCAGTGGGATATGGAGCAATGGGATTAGCAAAATTATTCTGAAATGGTAGAGTCAGGAAAGACAGGAGATCCTGGGATGTTTCAGGGAATTCTGTGGAGCTGAGACCAAACTGAATTCAGAGGATTTGGCATCAAACTGAACACAAAGTTACAAATATCTTCAGCTGGGATAAATCCCATGGGATAAATGTTTGGCACCAGTAAAAGAACCTGAACGTGTCGAATACAACCTGCCAAGGAGGAAGGACCTGGAGTTGAAATTTAACAATTAACTGTCTTTAAAGTGGGTTTAAGAACTTTAAAATCCTTGGTTAAGTGATTCACAAACATAGGAATGCACCGAATTTTGTCTGTAGAGATTGTTGTTCTCACCTTTATTGGCTAAATCACTAATCCCAGTCCAGCAGTGCTGGAATTCTGACAGAAACACTGATCCCCAGCACAGTTTTTACTCATTAATGTGTGTCCTAAAAATAAATCCCTTTTTAAAACAGAGGCTATTTTGAATAAATGCAGAACCTATAGCACAGCTGGTATGTTTGTACTTACAGATGTATCTATTTTCAAAAGACAAAAATCCCCAGCAAGGAAGGAAACCTGGATCACTCCTGACTGGTTCCCTGTATTAATTTGGAATGGGCAGTGGGAGAAATTCATTACACACAGGAGTAAATCCAACTTAAGCCCACGTAATGAAGGACCTCAGGACCATCCAAGACTTCCCTCACAAGCTTGTTTTTATCCAAACAAAGCAGTTTTGGCACTTGAGATGCTTCAGGGGGTGGGTTTGTGCAGGTGTGGATCCTTCCCTTGCCTGGCCTGACATGGAAGACTGAAAAACAAGGCTCCAAAAGGCTCTAGAAAAATCTATGTGGGTGCTTGGCAGCGACCTGCAAATATGCAAATATCTGCAAGCAGTTAATGAGCTGATCCCTAATGACCCCTAATGATCCCTAATGACCCCTAATGATCCCTAATGCTACTGCAGGAGGAGGAGAAGCAGCTGCTGGGAGGGTTCTACGGCTCCTCTGCCATCAGGACTCCGATGCACAAACAGGGAACTGGGCAAAGCTGAGAGAGAAATGTTCAGCCTAAGGCCTCCTTTCTCATGCAAGTGCTGGGCTGTACATGGAAAAAGGGCTGGACAATTCCTGGAGCAGGGAATGCTGGAGCAGGCAGATGCAGCTGCTGCTCCCGGGCCGGATCCTGCCGTGTTTCCTCAGCTCCTTTGGCATCTTCAGGTGGAGGAAACTGGGCAGCACCAGGGCTGGCAGGTCCATCCCAACTCTGTGACTCCAGTGGGTGCAGACATTCCCATTTTTATCCTGGGAACGGGTCCACTGGGATCACCCAGCGAGGCTGGAGCTGCCTGTTGGACAGTGGAGTTATCAAAAATAATTAATCATCATCTGCCACCTTTCAATGCTGCTGGAGACGTGTCAGTGTGGGGTGTCCCACAAGGGAGATCAATGACTGCTCTCGTTAACCTCAAGAAGATAATGAGACTCCAGGATGCTGGAAACACCAGTGGGCTTTGCCAGCTGGTCCAGAAAGAAGAAACCATAATATTCCAGAAATTCCATTAGTGCTACATGCTGTCAAAGCCTGACTTCAGCAGGCTTTGGGAGGAAAACAAGCAAATAGAAAAGTTAACGATGCTCATTCTTGAAAGAATGAGTAGTTTTGCCATGAACCTGCATAAAAAATGCAAGTTCAGCACAATTGTGTCAATTTTAGGGAATGCACGAGGTGGGGAATTTCGGGAGGCTCTGGTTGTACAAAATGGTCAGGTGGGGTCGGTTTTTTCAATCCCATTGGATCTAAGGCTTCACTGCTCGTGTAAGACACAAGGTCCAATCCCAGAAATTCATCTGTTTAAAGGAACTCAACACTGGTGGAATAAATGACTGGTAGGAAGTAAGGCAGCGATATCTCCAAGGATTTCTCATGGAATCCAAAGCTCTGAATCAGCTCTAGGATCTCCCTGGGAGCAGATTTTCGCCTGGTATTCCCTTTTTATTGCAGTTCTGACCAGTCTGTGGTGACTGTTTAACCCCTCTCCCTTCCCCTGGATTTCGTGAGGGGAATGGGACCTGATCTTCCGGAGGGTTCTTGTGCGACGCTGGAATTTCAGACATTCGCAGGTGGATTTGGGGAGATGGAACATGGGTGTACTGGAATGGAGGTGCTCCACACACTGGGGAAGAGGAGGGGACTGTTTCCCACTTAAAAGGCAAATGGGAGCAAAATGGGAGAAAAAATCTGATGTCTCTACACTCCTGTCCCATCTGGGGACTCGGAGCTGTACTCAGGTAAACGAGAGGGAAAAAAGGCTATTCCCAACTTCCAACCACACAAACTATGGAGTTTGTTCCTTTTCCTGTTCCTATTTCCCTTCTCCTGTCTCAGTTCCTCCCTGCTGGTCCCGACAAAACCATCAGGACTGGCTAAAATAAAGAATTTGGCTGCAACATTTGTGCCAGGTCTAAAAATAACGTCAAACTGGAAAGTGTTTTGTCACTGCTGCAATAATTTGTGATATTTGGCACTCTCGAGAGTTTACATTTGGTTTGTGTGAAAAAGCCATCCTGGAAAGAAATCAGCAGAATAGAAATCCTTTTATCCTAAACTGGAAGTGGAAATTCCAGCAGACAAATACTGGAAGCTGACTCTCTGGCTTCCAGGGATTTTTTTAATTGTCAGATTTTTCTTTGTACGTTTGTTGTTGTTCGTTTTTATTTTTTCCCAACTGTTTGCAACATGCTCACGTCGACTTTCCAGTCAATTCACCCAAATTCCAACAGGAATTGGTTTATAAATTGGTTCCAAGTGGAACTGGTCATTTGGAATTTCCAGCAGAGGAAATCATTTTATAAGTGCCTCGACAGGTACCCGAAATTACAAACGGATGTGTCTAATACCTAACGACGAGAAAAAAAATACGGCTATAAATGCAGTAAATGTATTAAAACCAAAAACAACCCCCAAAACAACCCCTATGGACGGGCAGAAACGGAAGGGCCGGGCGGGGTTCGGTCGCCCCTAATTAACATGGATGAGAGCAGAGTGCAACCGGAGTGTCGGGCGTCACACCTGCCAAAGGAAGATGACTGGATTCTCATTCCTAGCTACGGGATGTGGGAGGTTCTCACGGGATGAATCCTGGCCGTGGCTCAGAGCCGGTGCCGCGAGTCGTGGCTGTACCCGCCGGGGGACCCCCGGGTCCGGTGGGGTTTGTAGGAGTCCTGGTACGAGTCAGAGAATTCTTCCTCCACGAGGGGGTAGTGGTCTCGGCTGTGCTGGGAGCTGGAAGACAAGCGGTTCCTGCTCTTGCGAGCCCTGTCGCTGTGGTAGTTCTCGTCCGGGGGGCCGAGCCCGCGGCGCTCGGCGGGAGAGTTCTCCGGGGCCGGGGGGCCGTGCCGCCCGCGCTGGCTCTGCGGGGCCAAACGGGCCAAGTTAGTACCGCTCGGGGCTCACCCTGCACCGCCTCTCACACCGCGCTCGGAGGCCTTCTGCCGGCCCTGCGCCTCGGCTGAGCTCTGCCTAACAAAGCCTGGCTCCTACAGGGCGCGGGGGGAGGCTGCCGGAGCTGGAAGCAGGACCGCGGGGGCCTGGCGGTGTCCGCCCTGTTCAATACCACACTGAGCATGGGGAGTGAGCTGATGTGGCAGCATTTATCACTTGGCTCTGATCAGGAACAGAACAGTCACCCTTCTACCTATGAGTGTTGATTTATGTGGTTTTAGAAAACGTCTGAAGGTGTTTGTTGGGGTTTTTTTTAAAAGGTGCTTCTCTGAGCACTATTTAAACCCTTCGTAGGACCAAACCAGTGATGGACTGCTAAGCAGGCAGCTAAGGGGAGGCTGAAATGATTAGAGGTTAACAAATCCTTTCAGCTGAAACACTGTATTTTAAATACATTGGCAGAAAAAGCTTTTCTGAGATAATTTATAAATTAAAAAGTTTTAGCCCACGATATTTTCACATTCCCATACAAAAATGCCCTACGTTTTTCACATGAACAAAATGAGTTCATGGTTTTTGCCAATTAATTGGCACAACGAAGAAATAGCCTAAAGTAAGCATTTTGTGTGCTGTTATCACACACTGAACCTCTCAGGAGTGTCAGCACCCATCAGGACAAACTCAGTGCTGAAACTCCAGCCCCTGCTCTCTGGGCTGTAAAACCTTCCTCCTGCTGCCTCACCCTCTGCCTGGCAACTGCTTTCCTGCAGAATTTATACCCCAGGGCTCACAGGACATCCAGGGACGGAGCAGTGGGTGTGAGGTTACAGCCTGGACAGGCAGGGATGGAGCAGCTGGCACAGGTTGGGCAGAGAAGCTGTGGCTGCCCCTGGATCCCTGGAAGTGTCCAAGGCCAGGCTGGACAGGACTTGGAGCAACCTGGGCTAGTGGAAGGTGTCCCTGCCCAAGGCAGGGGGTGGCACTGGATGGGCTTTAAGGTCCCTTCCCACCCAAACCAGTCTGGAATTCCATGATTCATTATAAATTATCCTTCTATTCATCTGACCTACACAAATGCCATTAGGATCTATAATCACTTCATCAATTGTAGCTGTAACTCTCTGTGCTCACCTTCCCTGTAGTAATTTACCTCTCTGGCTGCAACCTGCTCCTTTCCAGAACTTTCCAGCTCCCCTGCCTGCACTGTGTGTTCATCCCAATCCTGCTGTTCCCTTCCCGAGGTGTCAGTGTGGGACACACCTGGGGTGGTCACACCTGGGATTACATCCCAGGGGACTTTGGATCCATGGGCAGGGACACCTCCCACCAGCCCAGGTTGCTCCAAGCCCTGTCCAGCCTGGCCTTGGACACTCCCAGGGATCCAGGGGCAGCCACAGCTTTCTCTGGGCAGTAAATATTTTTCCAGGCCATGCTGGCAATGACCAAATTCCCTCTTCCTGCTGAGGACTGGGAACACCCCCAGCTCTGCATGGACACTTCCCTTTAAGGGAGGTGATTCCCAAGGCCCAGGTGTGGCAGCCCCAGCCTTGTCACCTGTGCCCTCTGTGCCACCTCACTGCACCCTCATGACCTCCCTGAGTCATGGGTTCAGTCACAGGTTTCAGTTCTCAGTAAACTGAAGTCCAAGGCACTGCCAGGTAGGAAAGGGAGACTCCCAAATCCTGGCTGGGTGAAGCAGGGACAGACTGTCCCAGCACATCTGGATCAGTGTCACTGTCACATGAGGCTCTAGGCTTTTGGATTTCAGTCCCTGAGATATCAGGGTCATAAGTAATATAAAATCTTGCAGTATCATAAGCACCTCTGCCAGTTTAATTAGCATGAGTGCTCCCTAATTACCACACACATCATTACAGTGACAACTGATGCAAATCCTTCTGATGGCCTGGACTGGCATAAAACCTCCATGTGGTTCATGGGGATGGGGGAAGTCCTCACTGTGAGATAACCACGGAAAACCTCAGGGCCTGCACCCTCAGTGGCACCACAAGCCAAACCCTGCAGCCTCTGGGTGGGCATCACTGACTCCAGGAGAAATTTACCCCTCTGCAGAGCACCAGCACCAGTCATCCCACCGAAACCCTTCAGAATCCGGGTGGAGTGGGGATTAAGTGATGCATACCTTCAGCCAGCCCACTGCACAGGGGTGATTTTCATCTTCAGTGTGAGTTTTCCCTAAGTAAATGGAGCAACATTGCACAGTTATTGCTGGTGTCCATTGATCAGAGAGAAATAAATGCCTGAAAAAAATTCTGTGGATACACCCAGTGCTCAAAATGAAACTGAAGAGGTGAAAAAAGTTCTGCAGATGGCATTTTATTGGCATGGAGGGATGGAAAACTGAAATTTTAAGGCAAGTGAGAATGGAAACAACAGTTTACATGTGCATGTCATCAGTAACAGAGCAGTGCTTGTGCACTCAGCCAGTCAGGAGACAGAGACTTGCTGCTCCTAATGAAACCAAGCACGGCATTAAGTGCTGGGAATTGTGCACCTGCAGGGCAGTGCAGGTCCCTCACAGCAACACTGAAACCACCACTGTTACCTGCTTCCAGACACTCTACAGGCAGAGCAGACGGTACATCTGTCAGGTGAATTATTCACTCGGGGTCATTTGTTCAGCTCTATTGCTGACAGACATTATTAGCAAGTGACACTCCTGGAGGTCCCCCCCCCGGCACACAGAGCTCCCTGCAATCCTGATCCCCTCCAGCACTCACAACTCTTAGAACCAAAAAAAAAAAAATTAAAAAAAAAATCTGTTTGCAAACTTAATAAAGCACGTACTTCTCATTAAGGACTATTTACATGCCACGATTGAAGTGTCAAAGTTCAGCCGAGTTTGAGCTATCCCTGTGGAAAAAAAGGGTCACAATTTTTTTCAATGGGTAAAAAAAAAAAAAAAAAAAAAAAAAAAAAAAAAAAAGTGTTAAATTCATACTCAAAAGAACCCAAAAAAGGGGAAGGGGTTTTGCTGATACAAGTATGGAGGGTTTTTTGCGAGGAGGGGAGGAATAAAAGGGATGGTTATAGAGCTGGCTGGAGGGAATTGCTGGGCATTTTAATTCCCACTGAAGGCAGAGCAGTGCCGCTGTTTCAGCACTGGGCTCAGTGAGTGGTTACTCACTGGTTACACCCCTCAGCTTGCCTGTCCCTGCTGGCAGTGGCCAAAGAGGGAGCAAACAGGAGTCACGCTGTACAAACCAGTTCACAGGTCCCCCCCAGGAGTGACCAAACCCACCTGGAGCGCAGGGCTGGGCGGGCCAGGCCGTGCTCTCCTACCTGCAGTCCCGAGATGGCGGCGGGATACGGGGAGAGGGCGGTGGATCCCAGGTTCCTGCCCAGCAGGGGGGTCAGGGGGGTGGTACTGGTGGTGTGGGTGGCTCGCCAATACGCCTCCAGGTACTCGGCCAGGTGCTCGCAGGCGTCCTCCAGCTGGTTCTCGTCCAGGATCACGTCAAACATGTCCTGGGCACGACACAGGGGCACACGGGGAAGTGAGGAGAGGGCAGACACCTCTGGCCAGGCTGAACCCTTAGGAGTCAGCAAATAGGGATCACGGCATGGGATCGCTGAAGGAGCCGACAAGAAAGATGGAGAGGGGG